GGATGTTAATTTATCGGCGGAGAGCATACGGAGAATACTTCGGAAAAATGGCTTATCCGCAAGAATAAGGCGAAAAAGCCTTTGCTCAGTAAAACTCACGGAAGAAAAAGATTAAATTGGGCAAAAAAATACAGAAATCGGACATCCAACGATTGGAAGCGAATAATTTGGTCCGACGAAAGCAAGTTCCAACTATTTGGGACGGATGGGAGGAAGTACTGTTGGAAGAAGCCTGTGAATCTTTAAAAGGTTACCATATCACACCAACAATGAAATTTGATGGTGGTTCAATTATGGTTTGGGGTTGCTTTACCGCCAATGGAGTTGGTGAACTCAAAAAAATTGATGGAAAAATAACAGCTGATGTCTATGTTAATATTTTAAACACTAACTTATTAGACACAGTCTGGGAAATGATGCTGGAGGATAGGAATTTTATCTTCCAGCAAAACAACGACCCAAACATATCTCCAAAAAAGCGAAGCAATGGTTCGTCGATAATGAGATCAACTTGCTTGACTGGCCATCGCAGTCCCCTGACTTGAACCCTATCGAACACTTGTGGAATGAAGTCGATAGGCGTTTGAGGCATCTTCCTGGCTCACTTTCATTAAAAGAAGACTTGTGGGAAAAGCTACAAGTCGCGTGGAAAAGCATTGATGTCGATTTTTGTACAAAGTTGGTTGACTCAATGCCAAAAAGGATAAATGATGTTATAGCGGCAAGGGGTGGTTCTACAAAATGGTAAACTAGGTTAATTAGGTTTGTAATATCAAAGAAATTAGAAACTATTGACTTACTTAATTATCAAACTACCTGCAAATTTCTTCCCCTCAATTCGGTTGTATTACGCGGAACACTAAAAAAAAAATAAAAAAATTTATTGTGTAAAATAGAAATGATGGATGAAAATAAAATTTGCATTGATTGATGAAATGCACCTACCTTTGACTTCGTACAATTCTTCAATGGCGAGATATTCGTATCTCGCCAATTTTTTTCCCGTGCCATGAGCTACTGTATATATCCAATGTTCAGGCCAATGATATGAAAAACAGATGGACAACGTTATTTTGCAAACCTCACTAAATTTCCGGAAACAAATATGTCATGTAGAAACTCACATGTACATGATACATATCGATATTGAGAAATACTTTAGAGAAAATAAGTCATTTTCTTAATGCGATTGAAAAACCATCAGTAAATGCTTGAATCTAAAAAATAGATAGAAGAAAGTAGTTTATATGTATTCCTAAAACATTTGACAGTAACTGTAACCTAGCTTCCTTAAAAATTACTGCGAACAATTCTCTCAAAAACTATTTGAACAAATCGCTTAAAAGAATAAAATGAATATTCTTTTTAGATTTCCGTCGGGAATAAAAAGTTTATATGTTTATTTTCATTCGAAACTAACAATTTTATTTGAAGATTTATTACAGGCAATCTATCTATATAAATTATTTATGAAATTGAAAAAATTTCGAGTTTACATGAATAGAAGAGAAGGCTCTGCATCAATTTAAAAATCATATTAATTTCGATATTCACCTCCTTTTACCGATCATTTTCTATACCTTAAACTATTCTATATATTTATATCATACATTTCAATAGTTATGCCTCCATAAAACTATCAAATCTTTTATAATTTCCATTACAATCGTCAGCATTGAAGCATCATTGTAACCTTCGTTATAATCATTATAATCTCTTTCATTTAAACAATTATAATGTCTGCTTTTAATACTTTCGTTATAACTACCATTGTTGAGAATGCCGTCATAAGTTCCGTTATAGTTTTCAATACCGAAATTACCACTAATATTCCCATCATTCTCATTGCCATTAGAGCTTGTAATGTTCCTCTTGCCATTGTGTTTTCCGCTATATGATTCTAGTGGAGCTGCGGCAATGAATGTCGCGAAAAGAAGAACATAGATCAAAGTAATTGCGGAAATTTGTTTATGCATTTTGGCAAGTTTTTCAGAATGAATATATGTATTTGAGTTTTTTTCGTGGACAAGGGATATTGAGCACATAAAGAGACATGAGTGAGGATGTTCTTTTATATTAGAATTTAATCTACAAATATCTGATTGTTATTCATCTAGCTAAATTGCTAAACTTTATCAAATACATATATAGGTGTGATTTTCAAGGTAATTCTCTTTAAGTTGTACATGTATTATCAGACCAGATCCACGATTTATTTATATTCTGAATTAAAAAAAATAATCATTTTCATCAACTTCTTAAAAGGTGAACTTAATTTTTTGAAATATACATCTACTGTGGAAATATCCAGGTAAGAATGGATACTACGAAAGAAAAATTATCATTTACATATTCAAAATTACTAAAACTGATTAAATAAAGTGGAAAAATGCAGGTCGTTATTTTTAGGAAAAGCTTAAAATCAATGAAATCCTAAAATTATACATGTACATGTAATTATCATATCTACATTGTACATGAACAGTGTTCTATTTACGCCCGATCACAAAATGTAGGCTAACGAAACCAATGCGTACTGTACATATCTTTTTTATTATAATTTTTTCTTAGATAAACATTTTCTTTTTTTAGAACATAATATGCTTATATGTACATATACAAATCAAATATTTTCTTCTTTGGATAAATAATTAATTTCGTGAAGTTGTTGAAAGATTATTTTGTTTGAATTAACTATATATACCTACTGCGTATAATAAAAAACTGACATAAATTTTATGAATAAGAAATCAAAAATAATGTATAGCAACTACGAAATTGAATTTATGTGCTTGTTTTGTGTAATATAAGTACTGTACTTAAAGTATAATATTTATTCAAGGTATTACACAACATGTGCTGGAAAAATTGAATTTAAGGTACTGATACCTAACCTGAGTCTGACAATATTCTGTATTTTAGAATTGCTGCACTTTCAAATACATCTATTGTAATCCAGTGCGAGCGCATAGCAGTTGCATTAAAGCTGTACACAGATTTTTGAATGACAATTCTTAACTCTATAATGGATCCATTGTTATTGTTTATTAGTGACTGCTAAATAATTTTCGTCAATCATTTATTTTGCGCATAGTATTTGCACTTAACACCAATTCAAATAATTGATAAAAGTCTTCAGAGAATGCATATAATTAATATTTTGATTGTTAGTCCAATTTTAAATTCATTTTACATTAATTACAAGCAGATTTAAAAATAAATAAAACTTTTAACAAAATAGTAATGATTAGTTCTTATGTACATGCTAAATAACTATTATATTTAAAATATATGAATTTCGTGAGTGAATTATTGAGTTTAGTTAAGTTTTCAAGGATAATACCCAAATTTTGACAAATAAACCGAAAAATCGACGATGTGAGACAACCTTAATTCTTGTTTTCCTAAAATCGCCCAAACTAATATTCATGCAAAGATTATTGCCTTGTAGCATCAAATTGATATTGTTTCGCCATACAAAAATATTACTTGTGATATCAACTTCAACACTGCCTTCGCTATAACACTATTTTCTTATATTCTTCCCAAGAATGTGATGATCTTTAGAAACTCATATAACCATTTGTATCGTACGTTATTTCTTTGTTCCATGGAGATTCTTACAAAATTCATGCAAAATTCACATTTTGTGTTATACACAATATTTTACTTATATTTTTATGATTACAATTGATTTTATTATTATTCTCTGTTTCGACGCGTAGCCATGTAAAAATTCTTATAGAATCCACACTTTATAAGTAGGAACTCGTGAATTTTGTAGTAACTTACGATCTGTATTATAGATAGTTAAATAAAAACCAAATCGTATATAAAGGATGGCTCTCAAAGTGAGTTAAGTCAATGTGTGGTTGAAGAAAAATAAATAAAATTATTTTAACTCTTACCTGACAGCACTTCAGCTTTACTTCTTTTGTTTCTTAACAAAGTTGAAGGTCTTACTACTTTGTTCAAGAAAGTTGATTGGATTATTCAATAATTTATTTTTGATATTATCATTCATTTTTTATTTGCGGTTTGAATTAAATGCGAATATTGAATCTGTGCCTGGTTCGTGTTCACGGAATCTGCGTATCGTCAACCAATCCTATCCGTTATGTGATTACAGGATCGTACATAATTCCGATTCATTACATTATTACATACAGTATATCTGGTCTATTGGATTTCAAAGATGGACAGGCTTAACAGGTTGTGTGAGGTTTTAAAATGTTGGATTTATGTCAATATAGGAGTATTGGAGAGAACAAGGGTATGAATCTCAAGAATATCGATTTAGTGTGCTAAAGCTATCGAAATGTATAGCAAGAATACTGCAATAAATCACAGAACAAAAATTATTCGTCTCATTTCAGAGGAACGAGAAAATAATTCACTGCAAATATAGTAGTTACAATCTTTTCTTCCTGACTATACACGGATAATGAAAAAAGGTGATTACTTGAAATTTTTAATTACTACATTCGGATAGATTGAATCGACTAACTATAGCTAAAAATAGTTAGCTAAAAGCAAGCCCACATTCATCACACCTAAACTCTTTATTTCCACTCAAATTTCTCTTAATATATCCACAATAATTGCATATTTTACTCATATATGCTTCTGTCATGGACATATTGCCAACCCAAAATTATCATTTACTATTACTATTAATATGCTTGATTTCACAATTGGAATAGTATTAAATCAAAATCAAGATAAAACAATTAATTAATAATATATAAAAAAAATTATTATCAGCTGAATAAAATTATTTTATTTATAAGAAAGAATTATCAGTAATTATATATATATTATTAGACTTTAAAAGATTAAAGTTTATAGTTATTATTGATTATATATCTTTAGAATATATTAAAACTTAATATAATCTTTCAAAGAGATAAATTTATTAATAGAAATCTTGAAAGCAAATAATTTTGAATGAATTATAAATATAATAAAATTATATCATCAGAAGTAATTAAAAAATATTTAAATGTAAATTTTTATTTTTATATAATAAATATCAAATTTTCAATTACATATAAAATTTAAAGTGTTATAAGTTTTAAAATTATAATTAACAAAAAATTTGGTTTAATAAAATTATAGCTTGAACAAAAAGTAATAAATTTATAAAAGAAATTTTATAAAATTATTTATTTTTAAGTTATAACACTTTTTATATTATATAAATATTAAATATTTTATATTATTACTTCTTATAGTAATTCTAAATGACAAAACTCTAAAATTAAAAATTTTATTTGAATTTTATAATTTATTATTACTAAATATTTTGAAATTAATAAAAAATTTTATTGCTATTTTATAATAATTTTTTTGATTAAAGATAAATAAAAATATTTATAAATATACTATAAGTTATAAATTTTATTAATTACTTATTATATTATAATATATATAAAAATAAGTAATATAAATTTATTATTTAATTATTTATTATATTAGTAATAGACAAAACTATACTATATATATTATTATATATATAATCTAAGTATATAATTATTTAATTAAGTATATAATTATTAATTAAGCAAATAGTTATTAACCAAGTATATAATAATATAATTATTATCAAACTAATATTCTAAATATTCATATAGTAATATAATTTATTAATAAATTCTAAAATATAATTATTATTAAATTTATGATAATTAATATTTTAAAGTTATTAATTTTTCTAATTATATTAATTTAGTTAAGATAATAAAAAATTATATTACAAATAATTAATATTTTTTTATTTAATATCTTTTATTTATTTTAACTTATTAATTAATAATAATAATAATTTTAATTTCAAATTTTCTTTTTAGAATAAGAAATCAATAATATTTTTATTTTTTATTTTTTTATTTAATAAATAGTTATCCTATTATTTGTATTTATATCAATTTAAGCTATATTTATTATGTATATACTGACAAGTTATTAATAAAAAATCAGATTGATCTAACCAGTTAAATTATACTATTTTAAATCTTATATAAATTTTAAATAAACTAAAACTGAACTGATCCTTTTCAGATCAAAAAACTATAATCTCAATTAGAAACTAGATTTTAGATTTAATTTTGATCACAGTTTAATTCAAACTGAATAAAACTTTAAGAAAATTACTATTTATCCAAGATAACAGATAATATTAATAAAAATAGACTGAAATTATACTTTTTTACATAGCAAAGCCAATAATATAATAATATATATATTATATTATGAGATTTTAAATCAGATATAGAAAATTGAATTAGAATGAATAAAAGATCAAATGATGATATATATATATATATTTGCAGATTTTATAATTATAAAATGAATGATGATTTGCAGATTCTTGATCAAAAAACGGGCACAGATTTAATATTTACTTATAAAATAGATTTATTCAAAAACAAACAAAAAATGAATAATAAAAGAAAATCAAATAATTTAATACTCAAGAGTCAATAAATTATATACAAAATATTGGTCATAAACTTTCTATGGCAAGTCTTTGTTTTTGTTAAGCATAAAAGAAATAAAGCACTCGATTTTGTTTTATTTTTCTTCAACCATATATTGACTTAATTCTTTGATACCTATCCTTTATATACAATTTGGTTTCTATATAACTATCTATAACACAGTTCGCAAATTATTACAAAATTCACGGGCTTCTACTTACAAAGTGTGGATTTTTATAAGTATCTTTACAAAAGAGCAAAATGTTGAAACAGAATATAATAATAAAACTAATTGTATTATAAGGATAAATTAAAATTTTGTGTACAATACAAAATATGAATTTTATATGAATTTCTAACAATAATCACATTTTAGGGAGTGCAAAATAAGAAAATTTGTACGAAAGCCGTGTTATTAGGGAAGGCAGTGTTAATGTTGATATCACAAAGTAAGAATTTTTGTAAGAAATTTCGAAATGATATCAATATTGAAAAGCAAAAATTTTGTCGAATTTAGATTCAGGAGATATGGACAATTATTTTAATATCACTAATTTTAGGAATACAAGATACAAGAATTAAGATTTTCTTTAAACTTCTCGCAATCACAGGATATTTTGTTGCGACAGGCAAAAGTATATCATATAATTAATAGAATACTCACATTTATCTTAGATGTTATTAAAGTGCGAGTGTAAAATATGATTTATCTTCATTAATTATTTAAAATGCTAATTTTCATCGATATTAGCTAGCAATTTTTAGGTTTATTTGTCAAATTTTGGGTGTTATCTTAAAAACTTATCTAATCTCAATAATTCACTCATGGCATTCAAATTTTATTTATTTAAATCTGCTTGTAATTAATGTAAAATGAATTTAATTTTTGAAATAGCAACCAGCATATTAATTGAAAGCATTATCTGAAGACTTTTATCAGTTATTTGAATTAGATTAAATGCAAATACTACTGTACTATACGAAAAATAATGACGGACGAAAATTATTTAGCTGTTACTAATATCTCCATTATAAGAGAAATAGGTTCATTGTAGAGTTAAGATAGTTACGTACATGTATTTGACATCCCTGTGAAAATGCAGTGCACAGTTGCAATGCAACTGCTATGTGCTCGCACCGGATTATAATAGATGTATTTGGAAAGAGCAGCATTTCTAAATATAGAATATTGTCAGATTATCCAGTACATGTACCTCGAATTCAATTTTTACGCCACATTTTGTGTACTTTTGGTACTTATATTTCAAAAACAAGTCACATAAATTTCGACATTTTTTAAGTTTTTAGTTGCTTTCCTATTCGTAGAATTTACGTGAGTTTTTTTTTATTACATGTAGTAGGTATATTTATAGTTAATTTGTTCTTAATTAAAAAAAAGAAATAGTCAAAGTGATATTTTCAACAAATTCAAAAAAAATTATTATTTATTCAAAGAAGAAATATTAGACATGTACATGTATATGCATATTATTTTCTAAAAAAGAAAATGTTACCTAGAAAAAATTTTATATAAAAAGGTATCTGTATACTGTACAACACGCGTTGATTTTTGTTAAGCCTACATTTTGTGCGATGGGTGTAAATAGAACACTTTGCATGTACAATGTAGTCATACATGTAATTACATGTATAATTTTTAGGATTTCATTGATTGATACTTTTCCTAAAAATGACGATCTGCATTTTCATCTTTATTTATTTAGTAATTTTAAGCATGTAAATGATAATTGTCAATTTGTAATATTCATTCTTACCTAAATATTTCCACAGTAAATGTACATTTAAAAAAAATAAATTCATCTTTAAGTTGAACAAAATGTTTTTTATTGAATCTGAACTTTATAGTACAACTTAAAGAGAATTACCTTGAAAGTCACATCCGTTTATGTATTTAGCAATTTAATTAGATGAATTACAATCAGATATTTGTAGACTAAATTCTAAAAACATATAATATACAAAGGCGTCACTTATTGTTGAAAATTCTTATAAAAGCGCATCCTCCCTCACGTCTCTTATGTGCTCAATATCTCTTGTCCTTGACAAAAACTCAAATACATATATTCTATCTGAAATTCATCAAAATGTATAAACCCATTTTCTCAATTACTTTTATCTATATTCTTCTTTTCGTGACACTCGTTACAGCAGCTCCACTAGAATCAAATAGCGGAAAACACAATGGCAAGAGAAACGTCGCAAGCTCTAATAGCAATGAGAACGGTGGAAACATTAATGGTAATTTCAGTATTGGAAACAATAACGGAACTTATGACGACATTCTCAACAATAGTAGCTATAACGGAAGCATTAAAAGAAGGCATCATAATTGTTTAAACAAAAGAGATTATAATGATTATAATGACAACGATACTTCAATGCTGATGATTATAATGGAAATAATAAAAGATGTTATAGTTCTATGGAGGCATAATTATTGAAATTTTTAATATACATATATAGAATAGTTTAAAGGTATAGAGAATGGTTGATAAAAAGACGTGAATTTGGATATTAATATGGTTTTTAAAGTGATGTAAAGCCTTCTCTTCTATTCATGTAAAACTCGAAATTTTTCGATTTCATAAATAATTTACCCTAGATTACTTGTAATAAATTTTTAAAATAAATTGTCAATTTCGAATGATACATGTATAAATAATACTTTGATCAAATAAACATAATCTTTTTATTACCGACAGAACTCTAAAATTTTTTAATTTCTTGATTGAAGATTCTACAAAGATTCCTAACTTGTAGTATCAGAATCAACGCCTTTCCCCAAAACAAGGAGTATTTCATTAAAACTCTTACCTTGCGTGTCCAAGATTATCGCTCTTAACTCAACAACTCTTGTTTGTGCATCCTCCTTTATTTGTGATAACGTAATAATAAGTATTTATTTATATTCTTTTTATATAAATCTTTTTTCATTCCATTAATTTATATAGGTATATTCTTATCTTGTGCTATAATGACCCACAAACCTGTAATCAACAAACTGTAACTTTAGATAGCTGTATAATAACGAAAATAGTTGTGCAATGAAAAAAACTGCATATATAGGATAGATTTCGAGACAGGCAATGTGTGGTCTGAAGAAAAATAATTAAATAAAATTATTTATAATACTTACCTAACTACACCTCAGCTTTTATTTTTTGTAAAAAAAGAAATCGATAACTTTATTTCTCTTCGTGCTTAACAAATTGAAGACTTTATTGCTCTGGCCATACAAATTGAAATTGATTTTATTATTGCATTTTTGTTAATTTGATATTTGATATTATTCGTTCGATATCAGTTTAATTTTTTTGATTATCGATTTTTAATTTTGTTATGAATACCTATTATTGTTTGGATAGTTATTTAATTTGTTGTTTGTGTTAGATATTCTTCAATTTAATAGTAAACTTTGCTTCTTTGAAATTAAACTAATATTTTAAACCTTACCTTCAACATTGATTGCTCAATCTCTGTGAAAGATTGGCATAGGAACCTTGTGTAAATCGTTCAGTCTTCACTCCCAACCCTTGTTACATATTCAATTTCGTTAACACTTATTCCAAAGTAATCATCGCTGTACTTTCTGAATCTATTTTTTGAAAAATTCCATTGCATTAGAAAATATTTGTTATGCTTTCAAAAATTGTTTAATCTCTACCTCCTTTATAATTTGCTTTGAATTACGCAATTTCGACATAATTTCGTGTTTAGCATCATTAGATCATTTAAATTTGTTTTCTTCATGATGCCACTCGTAATAATATAGTGATGTTTTATAAATTCAATTTTCAAAAGAAATCTATTGAAATTGCTTTCTAATTTTATCGCATCCTCTTATTAGATTGAAATATCTTCGTTTCCACTTGATAACAATAACTAAACTTTATAAGATAATTAAAACATTCAAATGAGTGCATTTGCTACAATTTTGATTTGTGGAATTTTCTTTAAATCATTTGTATTATTTTATTTTCATTTATATAAATTATTAAAAATAATAATGAATTAAAGAATTCAATAAAAAGAAATCTGTTACATTGATTCAGCATTAGGATTGTTAATAGAGTAGCACATCCAACCCGAAGTCTGTAATGGGTTTATCATTACTCAAACTGGAATTCTAATCCGGGTTGCTCTAATGAAGTAGCCCATGTTATTATAGAATATCAAATTATACAAATTGAAGTGCCCATTCATAGAACTATAGGATTTTAGTCCATTTCGAATTAAGAAAAGTTGAAATGCATCAGAACGAGTCAATGAATATACGTGAAAATCTAGATGTGAAATTAAGGTTACGTTTTACTGTATGCAATAGGAATTATTCTTCTAGGAATTTCATGGTACCGTTAGGTTTAAGAAAGCAACACGCTTTTGTTTACCAAAAATAGATCAAAAGATGGTGCTTATTTTCGGCAGTAAATGGTATTCATCGAGTAGTAAAGGTAGCGGGTGTTATATTTTAGAGATGCATATAAATAAAATAACAAGTAAATACAAAGTTCTTAAATCTATAATCGATAAAGACTTAAAAGTTACATATCAAACAATTTAGCCTACCCCCATGACTTTCCATAAATCATGTGTAATATATCAAACAACAAAGATCGACGCAAACTATGTCTTTATAAAGTTGGTAAAACTTCTATTTGCTATATCTGGCATTAAGTGTTCATCTTCAAATATAATCGGTCACTTTATGACGCATATCTTGATGTTTAGTGATCCATTCTCAACATCCAGTGATTAGTTTCGATCAAAATATTACCATTCAATTCATCTTAATGATAGTATTTTGTTCGAAAAATATACGCAAAATTGAAAAAGAAAGGATTAAACGAGAGCAAGAAATTAAAGATGTTCAAGACAAAATCAAACTCACGAACGCTAAAAATTTTATTTTCTAACTCACTAATTTTTTGCGTCAATTCCATATTACTTTCTTCCAGAGCATCTCTTTGGGTTCGGGTTTAGGAGAGGTTAGATTATCCTTCCGACCTAAGAGCCGAGCAAGAAAGCAGGAACAAGTTCAAAAGCTTGTCTTTTTCACAGGTTTTTTATAAACAATCTCATGTTCGATATGGTTTTATCTAGAACAATTTTTAATTCTTAACAAAAAATGAATCACTACAATATCTCAAAGTTCAATGATCCGATTCGAGCGAATATACTACTATTTGATTGTTTTGATAAGATAATTCGAATAGCAGCATACAGTATTTACTTGAATTGGATCACTGAATGTTAAGATATTACATTATAAAGTGGTGATTCATTGTATTTACGACGTAGATATTTGATGAACACCCAATTCACGATATCACCTATAAAGATATAGATGATCAGTGTTTAAGTTGTTCTTTGTGTTTGTAAAATTTTGGTAGATTACACATGATCTATGGAAAGTTATGCTACTTCTGACGAGTACTATATATTCTTAAAAAATGAGCAAGATGTGCTTCATATTACAAGAAAGAGAATTGAATACTATTATTCATAAAAGTAATCTTTTTCGAAGCGAAAATTTACGTTATCATTTTATCAAACAATAGAAGGATTTTCCTTTTAGAGTCAATACAGATTGCGAACTTATTTTTAGGAAGTTATCTTAGTAAAAGTGGAGGTGAAGCCACAGTATTACTATATTTATTTAATACGTAAAATCATATCAAATACACCTTTTGCTATCCTTCTTGTGATTCTGACTTCTTACATGTATTGGCTATTGGACACACGACCTTATGGTTTAATATTCCAGGGCAGAAGGATGACTTCGATACATTTTCCAAATTAAATCTCTTATGAATTGAATGATTTTCAATAATTTTTGTTAATATTAATAATTATATAATTATATAACGAAAAGTTATGTATATTTATAACGTACAATCATGTCCAAAATTATTTGCAAACCCATTTAATTATCAATCCATAAGACAGTTCAACGATGCAGTCAAATCATCTGAATATAATAGGAACTAGTAAATCAGCATATCTCGATTGATGTTTTTTGGTGTCGTGGTGTTCGTTTCATTAGGTTTAATGTTATGATGCGCTCGTAAGTAAATTACTTGAGTTTCAAATATTCTTAAACTTTGCATTGAAACTAATGATTTAAAGAGAAAAATGTTGCGGTGTAAACAAAAAGTCCATTGCTCGAATGTTTTATGTAAAATGTCTTTTGTACGAACGCTATAATATACAAGTCATTTTTTTGATGTTATAGACAAACGTCCATTTGATTGATGCTATACAAGTTATTGTCCGCATGTAATACATGTATACATAATGTAATATACAAAGAATTTCTTATCATATACTGGTATATGCTACATGCAATGAATTTTGTTTGTGATTAGGATTATTAAAAAATATAGAGTGATGTCAAAAGAATGTTTACCGTATTTGGCGGAATATAAACAACATTCCTGATTGATTTTTCACCCTCCCTTAAAAAAACACATGATTATATACCCTATATGTATTGATAAATTCGATGTTAATTTTCAATAATCTTACAAATTAAATCATAATTAGGTTTTGTAAATTTCTACCTTTAATAAATATATATTGCTTATTTTCCATCCTATTCTGCCATTTTTACGCATTCTATCTTTAAAGGGTTGTTAATACAAACATTTAATGGTTGAACAAAGTGAGGTCAGACCACCAGGTATAATAGCCAAATCAATATTATCTTGTTGACACTTTTCTTTTACAAGTCTTGTTTTATGATCTTCAAAACTATCTATTATTAACAATGATTTTCCATATTTCTTGAAGCCAAGCTATCATTAGATTTTCATCCATCTAACCATTTTCTTGCATTCTAACTATAATATTAGGAGGAAGATCTTTTGGTGATTTTTTGACTTTAAAATCATCATAGGTTTAAGTTTAGTTCCATCAGCAAGAATTGTTAAAACACATGTAAAGCGACTTTTATTATTTCCTGTAGTGCAGAGTTAAACCGTATGCGTGCCTTTTTTTCTATTGTTGAATTACCAATCATATCAAAAAAATTGGAGTTTCATCCATATTTGCAATTTGTGATAAAGGATATTGATTTTTAAAATTTTTATCTTTTGTAACTTAACTTTATTTTCTTGAACAAATTTTTTATTAATAAAGTTTTTAGATGCATCACTATGTTTTAATAAATGCATTATAAGTTTGAAGAAAGTTCCCTAGGTAATTTTTGTCCAATTTTTGTTTTTTTACGAATAGAAATATTATAACAATTCATAAAGTCATAGAGCCATTTATAAGATGCTGTGAAGGTATTTTTAGCATTAGGATATTGTTGTGAGTATTCATTATTAAGGAGAGATTTTATTTTTTGTTGAATCAAATATGTTGTAATAGCAATTCCATACATAAAATTTCAATCCATTTATTTAATTCTTCAACATCTGGATATAAAGGTTTTAAACCAGCACCAATATGGCGATTTTTAGATTTAGCTTTCGATATAGCTGATTCATTTTTACACCATTTTGATATTTGTGCAAAATGAATTCCATATTTTTGTTGAGCATTTCGTAAAGAATTTTGTTTACAATAAGCAATAATGCGACGTTTTTCTCTGGCTGTATATGAAGTACGAAGGATTTTTGCCATTATTTTTTTTTATTATTTAAATTTTTTTAATGAGGATAATTTTTTTAATTATTTTTTTAATTTTTAATAATTTAATAATAGCGATTTTCTTAAATTTTTTTTAAATTTTTAAATTTTTATCGCTTTTTAACAATAACGATAACGATAACTTAAATTGTACATGTACATGTATCACATTTGATAGCCAATTTCAACGAAGCAGCTGATTAAAAGTTTGGCACTATTTTTTTAAGGTTCAAAAAAATAGGGTAAAAACCAATACGGTTATATTCCGCTAAATACGGTAAGCGTATAGTGGATATTGTCGTTGTGGATGGCGAAAATAAGCATCATCTTTTGATATTTTTGATGTGTATTGTGCTCATTACAACAGTTCTTAAACCAAATACATGTAGTACCATGAAATTCCTAGAGAATTTCCATGGTTGCACAATCTCAATAATTCCTATTACATAAAACGTAATCTAAATTAGTTCTATATCTTTCACGTATAATCATTGAATTTAGTACTCGATCAGGTACATAACCCACCATATTTTGGTGGTGCTTATGTGGTTTTTGTTTATTGCAACATACTTTCTGGGACAAAATAAATAAATTCCTAACTAGTTTGGTAATGTACACATAGAACTTATCAGTAACTGCTAAAATTTATTGGATAAAAACATAATATGATTGGATATTGTTAAGCTAATAAATGTGTGTGTCCAATGTTCAAGCCAACGATATGAAAAAAAGATGGACTACATATTTTGCAAACTTCGTGTGTTAACAAATACGTCATGTAGAAATAATTACACGATAAATAAACACGTGTATTTAAAGCGAAAATAAATCATTCTCCTAATGAGAAACATTTACCATCAATAGATGCTTGCATTTAAAATGATTAAAAAAGTAGATTGAAGAAAATTTTTTATAAGTAACTTCAAATAAATTTATAATCACCTCTTTAGCATTTGAAGTAAACGTATCGTAACCTCTTCAAAAAATGCAAACAATTCTCTCAAAAAACTATTGAATGTGTTACCTAATGAAATGAATTTTCTTCACCAAAAAAATTAAAAAACTTTTTAGATTCCTTCGGGAATAAAAAATTTTTGTTTATTTGCTCAAATTATTAAGACATGTGTCATTCGAAACTAACAATTTTATTTGAAGATTTTATTACAAGCAATTCAAGAAGATTAATTAAAATTTGAATGATTTTTATTAGAAAAAATTATTAATTTTATATTGGTATATCAATCTTTTTGTATCAGTTCATATATTATAATTAAGATTAACTTTTAAATTAGTTTAAATATATTTTATTTATGAAAATTTCGAGATTTACAAGGATATAAGAGAAAACTTTTGCATCACTTTTAAAAACTATATTAATATCGATATTCACTTCTTTTTACCAATCATTTTCTACGTCCTTAAACTATTCTATTACACATTTCAATAATTATGCCTCCGTAGAAATATCACCTCTTTTGTAATTTCTATTATAATCATCAGCACCAAAGTATTATTGTAATCTTCATTATACTCATAATAAACTCTTTTGTTTAAACTTTTATAATGCCTGCTTTTAATACTTCCGTTATGCTATCATTGCTGAGAATACTATCATGGGTTCCGTTATTATTTCCAATACTGAAATTATGGTTAATGCTTCCAGCATTCTCATCGCCATTAGAGCTTGCGACGCTCCTCTGGCCATTGTATTTTCTGCTATATGATTCTAGCAACGAGTGTCACAAAAAGAAGAACATAGATCAAAGTAATTGCGAAAATACGTTTATACATTTTGATGAATTTTCGAGTATATGTACTGAATTTTTTTATTTTTTCGTGAAAGACAAGAATATTGAGGGAGGATGTTCTTTTTATAAGAAATTTCAACAAATTGGTAATGGATACTACGAAAAGAAAATTATCATTTATATAGTTTAAAGAAGATAAATAAAATCAATTATTTTTAATACTTATTCGGATTTTATTTCTTTTGTATCTAAACAAATCACTAGCTTTAATTCTTTTATCAATGATTACTGTACTGCTTTGATCAAATAAAGTTAATAAATTATACATAATTCCAGATTTTATTTGAATTTTCAAACTATTAAAATGCTTTTTTGTTTAAATTTTGCATTAATTTTTATATTATTTTGTTGATAATTATTAGAGATGGGCAAATGCGCGCATAGTATATACACGCATAATGATCTACATATATATACTAATCAAATACGCGATGTGAATTCATAAAAACTAATGATGATTTTATTTTCTATAACTATTATATACATTTATCAAT